CTCAACTGCAGCCAGCCAGCCAGCGCGATTGCCGCTCCATGAGCTGAACTTTAACCCCGCCTAGAGTTTCCCTACACTCCACTATACATGTCTACTGTACGCGGGCGTTAAAGGCATAGCGCACCCTTTCCCGCTCCCGCGCCCGCCCGGCCGGGTGCCCGCGAGCTGCCCGCGCGCCCGCCTCCGCCTCCGCTCTGCACCGCACCGCACAGCCGCCGCCCGCTCGCGCCGCCGCGGGGGGGGGGGGGGTGCGTGGGGGAGGGGGCGGCTGCGGCGCCGCGCGGCCAGCCGGGTCCCGAGCCTCCGCGGCCGCTCGCGCTCGCTCGCTCGCTCCCTCTCTCGCTCCCTCGCTCGCAGGCTCTCTCGCTCCCTCTGCCCCCCCCCGCCCCCGCTTCCCCGCTCAGCGCATTACTGGGTAACGCAGTGAGGAGCAGTTACAGTCTGTACTCCCGGGCAGCTATAGGCTGCCACAGGATGTGCTTAAGCAAACAAAACTACTTTTCCTCATCCCCATCCCCCAAGCCCCGCCGCAGACCTTCGCGGACCTCGGTGGAGGACTTGGGCAACTTTGCCAGGTTGCCCTGCGCTCCCGGTTCACTGTGTGGGCACGTAGAAAACCGAGGAGAAGGCCGGAGGGCAAATTTGCATGTATGCAAATTTTTAAAAATCAGACCTCCTAGGTAACTTTTTTTTTTTCCCCTCTGAAATGCGGTACGGCTCAAAGCATTGTAATCTCTCCAACGGAGCTTTCAGTGGGAATAGATCGTCGGTGGAGGTAATTATGCACAAAATCCTCCAAACTTTGTGCAGCTTCAGTCCTATGGCATTCAGAAGCGGGGGTGGTGGGGAATAATTTCACACAGAAGAGTCACCGGATTTGGGGGGTGAGGGGGGTGTCTGGAGAAAAGGAGGCGGAGATTAATGAGCGTTCTCCCTCCCAGGACTGTGAAACTAGTGGGTCTGAACACAGACGCCATAGAAAAAGTTCTATCACGTTTAGAAACAACAGTGGTTTAGCTGTGACATCTTTTTCTTTTTAGGAGGAAAAAAAATGTGAAAGGGATGTCCCCTAAGGGAAGAGAGATATTCTGGTCCACAAACGCGTGCCCAAAACTGGACACAGGCTCTCATTACCGTCCCTGTTCCTGGGACACCTCTGGAAGGGTGCCTTTTAAGAATCCCCTCTTTTTTCCTCCCCCAGGTAACCGTTCTTAAAAATGGAAAAGAGCTTCCTGCAATTATTTTAGGTTTGCTAAAGTATTGTTTTGGCAGAAAAGGGGGGTGGTTTTTAGGGTTTGGCAAGTTGCCAATAAGCCTGCTTTTCCAGTTTTTTTAACCTCATATTTTTTTCTCCAGGCTTTCCTCCCTGATGGAAAAAAAAAAAAAACCAAACGAACAAAAAAAAAAACCCTTCTTCCTCCTGACCCCCAGCCCATCTCTTCCTCCTCCTCTTTCTAACTCTAGTTTGCAGCCTGCTGCACTTGCGAATCCTTCTCAAAATTCCAAAAGGAAAGACCAGGGTGAGAGGCACTGGCACACAGACAGGGGAATCTGCACCTTGGGAGAGGTTACATAGCCAGAGAGCCTCAGAATAGAGGAAACTCCCGTAGGAATGCCCACTCTGCACTGTGAGTGTGAGGTGACCTGCTAAGGCCACTCTCATTCAGACTACGCTCCTCCACCGCAACCCCCCCCTTCTTAAGTAAGGGGCAACAAAAATGTTACTGGAGAAAGCAAAATACAATCCTTTGAAATATTCTGCATCTGTCTAAAATCATTTTATGCTTGTTCTCCAGTTACTTTATGGCTAAAATAATTTCTGAATGCTCGAGACCATCTTCACACACCTTGCTCCTAAATATCCTTGGAAATCTCTCAAATTATTTATTAAGGGGCGAGGGGAGGTAATGACTTAAATCTTTAATGAGAGAGTTCCATTTTCCCCAACTAAACAACTGCTTTTCCTTGGTTCCTCTTCAATTTCAGTAGAAGAGAAATGTCCTAAAAGCTAAGCCGAGTTACAGAGACAACTTCCCTGGCCATGAAAACCTTTGCTGGGATCTATAACTTCAACTCGCTCCAAGTTTCCTCGATAGAAGTTTCTGGCTGACGGTCCCAACATGTAACTGAGGCACAGTGAGAAGTTATTGTTCCGTGTGTACTCTTGGGAAGCTCTCTTCCAGAGCAGATTAAAATCTTTCTTTTGCTGTATTAAAAGATAGACTTCACATTTGCCTCTTTCCAAAACAAAAAAGATTCTTACTTTTAACTGAATCTCAAGAAAAAGAAAAGGATTTTTTTTTTATAAAGGACTGGCACATCGCCCTGGTTTTTAAAAATAGGGAAAAGTAATTTAATGCTGATATTTCTAGTTTAAAAACTTCTTTTGTTGCAGCAGTGAATGTGCCCGCGATTTCCAGCTTTCTGCGGTTAGCAATATTATCTTAAGTAACTTTTGGCGCCCTTCGTAAGACTTTTGGATATGGGACGATTGTTTGCGCCCTCTAGGCAAGGGCTGGATCCAAGTTCAGCACCAAAGCCCTTCACATCCGCTCCTGCTTTCTCTCCTATCTCCGCCAGCTCCCGCTCCCTCCCCCGCGGGATGGGGTGGGGGGGAGGCGGGGGAAACACCACAAAGCACAGTTCCAACTACAGCCTTTGGAAACAAGACTGAGAAAAATACAGTAGAAGAGTTACAGTTACAGAAAGGCTTCTGGTAACTTTCTCTCCAACAGGCATAAATTTAAACACACACACAAAGAAACAGATGTTCCTCAAAGGGCAGTCTGGGGGTAAAAAACATTTCCAACTCTTTCCCCTCTTCCCAAGTTGCAAAAGTAAATCCTTGTCCAGAGTTCACAAAGACACTAAGACACTTGAGAGAGAGCAGGGGTGGAAGGAGGAGAGAAGGAAGAAAGGATAGTAGAACAGTTGTAGGAAACAGGTGAAGTACAAAAAACTAGTTTACTGCAATCATATAAATGACCCATTGTTAGGAAGGATAAACCCCTTATTGGAAATAACTGCTCCAATCATTTATTTTGCAAGTGCTAGGAAGCTGCCTTGAAATGGGATTGTCTTTGCGCAAAGGAGGCTCCTGTCATGCTCTCTGCTATCCATATTCTTCCTGGCACAGAGCCCAGCCTTGCATTTACTGTGTTTTATTTGCAGAAATGTTACCTTGCCAGCTTTAGTGAAATCCTCTTAGATATATAAATTACGTCAATAAGGTTTCACTTATATGTACAGCTCAAATACCTCTCATTTTGGAGGTTACTTGATAGGAAGATCTTATTAATATGATTTAGATTTTAATGCCCAAAGCAGTGAAGATAAAATTGGGGTTCATAAGTGACAATGCCATTAACTCTGTAGTTCTTACCAAGCCTAACTTTATCACTAGCATTTTCCAATCTTTTTCTCTAGTTTTTTGACCTACTGGTCACTTGTGTGCAGATTTTTCTTAGATGCACATAATACTAAATTGAATAATGTCGCTGAACTGAGCATCCAAGTGGATTTTAATGTCAAATTTCCAAACCAGATTTGATTAGAAGGCCTAAAGCCCTGGGAAATAGCTCGATGGGAATTTAATCCAAAGATGGGAAAGAGCCCATACTATAGTCCATTCACTTCCCAACAGAATTAGGTGTCTACAATGCTCAGAGGGAAGGAAGAGATGGATGTGCTTTAGTCAGAGGCTGCCAGTTACTGTCTCCAAGACAAGCTACTGCAGTTGGTTTCCACTGGATTGGTATCAAAGACTTGTCCAAGAGGCCAGACTCCAACTAAGAGTTAGCAAGTCAGCAATCTTCCACACACACCCTCTACAGGGGTTGTTGTGGTAACAAGAACAAATGTGAACTTGGCCAGTTTTAATATCCTATTTGCTACTGACCATATATTTAAAGAGCAGAATTCAAGAAAAGTGGAGACAAAACACTCTTTCTCCCCTTCTTCCTATCAAATATATAAAATAGCTGTCAGTCCACCTATGAGACATTATCTCTCCCTTAAAACTCTTGTTTAGAGCTCAAGAAGAGAGGCATGCCTATTCCTTCAAAGTACTTGAAAAGTCAAAGCTTCGAAGATAACCAGGGAAGTTCTGCAATGCTGCGTATTCAGTATGTTACTTCCCAAAGCTCAATACCGTCCTGTAGTTCAGGCAAGTTTTTAAGCCATGCATTTTTAAAAGTTGAACCTCCCATTCCACAAGTTAACAGGGTCCCTGAATTTAAAATATAATAATTAATGCAAAGTTAATATTTCTCTAGAAGAATTTTTCTAACTTTTTCTGAAAGGCAATTAAGAAGGCATTACAATTCATGCAAAAATTCCCCAGGTTTTTTTTTTTTCTTAAACTCAAAAACTCTTTCCTATTGTGCTTGCTAAATCCGGAAGAGCTTGTAGCTTTGACAGCTTGAACCACACCATCCCCTTCAGAGCCGCAGAGAACTTCAGATCTTTTCTGCCCCGCCCCCTCTGGCTACTGAGAACCATTGTACACCCAAGCCTCCTCATGATTGGATAAAGCTTTTGTCAATCTCCCATGTTGTCCCATTGATTAGAGGATCGAATCGTCAATTATTCTCCGGGTCCAGACATTTCTTTTCGAGTTAGGTTGACTGCTGAGGCCAGACGTCTTTTTACAGAAGAGAGCACGTACAGGATTTTTTACCCCCTTTCTGGAACCGAGCAAGCGCTAGGAGGAAAAAATCTGTCAAGCTCAGCAATTTTTTCAAATCTCGGGGAAAGAAAAAAGGAAACCCGGTCTCTGATGCACATAGCAAAAACAAAAAACAAAAAACCATCCACAAAGCTACGTCTTTAAAACAAAACCATCACAATAGACATTCACCCAGCAATCACTTAAATGCATATGCAAGCCAGAGAAATTTTAAAGCCCTAGCCATTTAAACAAAATCATTCTACCATTATTGTTGTTTATAAAACACACATCGTATAAACGCAAAATAGAAAGTTTAAGATGTACCACGTACCATTGCAATGTAAAAAGAGTACGTGAGAAACTTTAAAATGTTCAGACGAATTGCTTCATTTGTTGTCCCCCTTTTTTGGCATTAAAAAAATCTAAATAAACTTGGAACCGTTGAAAACCCGGAAGAGATTTTTTTTAAAGCTGTTGGCCAATTGCAGGCTTCTTGGAGATTTTTTTTTTTTTTTTAACTCCAAATCAGAAGGCTTTTGCAATTGCAATGCGCGCTCTCTGCCTCTCTCACTGTCTCTCTCTCCTCTTTTGATAGCAATCCAACCCGGGCTGGCTGGTTCTCAGATTCTCTCTGGTTTTGCCTTGTGTGCTTTGGATTGTACGAGACTTTGCAGAAGTTGCAATCGATTCGCAGTCCCTCTCTCCTCTCCCTACCCCCTTGTTTATTTCCGCAATCGCTGCAATTTGCATAGTAACCACGCACGAGGCGCCGGCGGCTGCCTGCGGAGGGGGCCGGGAGGGGGCAAGGAAAAGGCCTTGCCCCCTTCTCCCCTCCTCCCGTCTCTCTCCCCGCCAGTCTCCTCCTCCCCCACGGTGCGTGGCCAATAGGAGCCCCGGCATTCAGCGCAAGCTCCGGTCGGGACACCGTTCGGAAGAAAAGCCCCTGTGTTACTAGGCCCTGCTCGCAGGATCGTGTTTTTGGCGCGGTAGAAGTTCCCCTGCTTGCGGACCTCGCAGCCGGTACTAGGGATATGTGAGGATAAAGTACATTTGCCTGCGGTTGTGCGGGTTTTGCACGTTTTAATCAAGTCTGCACACCTGCTTTCTCGGTTTCTTTTTCCATAGCCTCTCGTGAGTTATTAGGCTAGTTCATGATGGTTAGTGAGAGATTTAACCTTTATTTGCACTGGTGTAGACCAAGAGTTAAAGATCCTCTTTGGTGCATTAAATCACGAGAGTGCAAAATGTCACAGAGAACTTGCAGTGAAATAAAGCTTCTACTCTAGATTCTGAAAGGAAAAGACTGGTTCTGCTCTCTGCAGATGATTGAACATAAAATTGTTAGGGGGGCTCCCTCAAGAATAAACTTGTTCCTTTAAAGGAGGAGATGCAGTGAAATTCTAGCTTAATTGCCAAGCATCCACTGTCAGTATCCTTACAAAACCGGGATTCCACAAAGTTTGACGCCCCCCTCCACCTTCAAACGCCCCAAGAGAAGGGCTGTGTTTGGAAGCTTGAAATGGGGAGGAGGGAGGCTGTTAATGTAGCTATTGGAACATTTAAGTCCTTCATCTAACTGATTCATCTTATTTCATTAACCCAGGCTCTTTAAGACCATTTCAATGTGGACCGTTCATGTGTTTGTTTTAAACAACAGACTAGCCCTTGGTGTTGGGGTGGGGGGGTGGCGGAGACGACTCCAAAGGAAGGGAGTGTCCCTTTAAATGGAAAGCATCACAACCAGGGCTATTGCGTTTGTTTGTTTTGCGTCAGTTAAGTAGCTTTGGACGTTTTGCTGAATAACTGAGTTACAGGAAAATGTATGCTTAGCTCACTTGATTAAAAAGTATCCAATAAGAAGTCAAGAGGAATAGGAAGCAAGCTGGCAGTTGTCTGATTTTCTTAACTGTCCTTGGTGAAGGTACCAGTTAATAACAGGACCTCGCACAGTTAAATTAGAGGTTAGAGAAACCTATTTTGTTTTGAACCACCTTTTTGGCTTTAGGCTTGCACTTTACAACAGGCTAACTGATGCAGCATTACTGAAAGGTATAGTACTGTGGCCACCAGTGGTGGTAAAAAAGCTTTTCTCTTCTGGTCTGCCTCTTACAGATTCAGATACTGTCTTGCTCTAGAAAGTCTGTGGCATTTAATCCTGGCCCCCTATACTGAGCATCCATTTCAACTTGGCATACTACTTTCACTCTGGAAATACACTTAATGGGATGTAGTGGCTTAAGTAAAAAAAAAAAAAATTTTTTTTAAGTAACCCAAAAAACTTCTAGGTCTTGTTCCGCTGGTTCTAGGCCGTGTGACCTTGAGATGGTTACATAACACCTATAAAATAGGACATCAACCTATAGTGAGAATGGAGGATTGTTTTGTCAAGAGCTAAGAGCCTTTCAAATGCGCAAGAGGTATCAACTTGTACTGCATTGCTCTGTAGATGCCATGGTCTGAATAATCTCCAATGCTAAGCAAGTCAGGCCTTGTTAGTAGGTGTAACAGTGAGTTGTGTGTCCATGTCTGTAGTTCATTAACTCAGTTTAATGTGGTAGGTTAGCACCATTTCCAAAGTGACCTTTTATATCTCCATCTAGTCAACAACAGGAGAGTATAGGCTTTGGGGTCCAACTTAGGTGTTAATGTTAGTCCTATGTGACTCCAGACAAATTATTTAACCTCTGTAAGATTTAGATTTCTTGTATGGAAAATGGGAGATACTCAGATAACATATGTAATTTACCTAATCCATTAGCTGTGCTCAATATATTGTAGCTATAGTAATACCACTATTACTGTTTAATATGTACCATATTCCAGGCACATTGAATGTGTTAAGAGCTGGAGACACAGCGAAGAAGAAGCTTTCAGTCCCATGGAAGAGATAAGACCCCAAAATAAATAATAATGTAATGTGATAAGTGCTGTGTCCAACTTAGATATACATAAAGGGCAATAGAAATACAGATGATGGAATGACTGATTTTGCCTGAGTATATGTATAAGGAGAGTCATAGAAGGCTAAAAAGGGGGAAATGACATTGCTTTGGGCCAGAAGTATGCATCTGTCAGGTGGACAAAGGAGAGTACAGAAAAGCACAATGATGTCAGTGTATGCACTGGGCCAGAGAATGGGGATATATTCAACTGTGGCTAGTTGCTCTAGCTAGTATTAGCTTGTATCACAGTAACTAGAGATGAAATTAGAAAGTCAGGCTGAGGCAAGATAGTGGAGAACCTTGTGAGCTGTTTAAACTTTCACTTGAGGGACTGGGGAGACATCAAAGGTATTTAACCAAAAGATATGCAAAGTAAACTTTGCAGATTAGAAAGATCATTCCAGCAAAGGAGGCAAAGAGACCAATTAGAGGTGAGAGAAGATGAAATCCTGAACTATGCACAGCAGGAATGAATGAGCAAGAGAGAGAGAAAGGGAGGGAAGAGCAAAGGGTGGGAGAAAGGAGAGAAAGCAAGAGAGACCCACCATTAATATTAGTTTTTAGAGACTTTGGTTAACAGGGACAATTTAGGGGTGCAATTTTTCCAGACTCTCCCAAGCCCAAATACCCACAAGATATATAACAAGACCTATTAGTGAAGGAGGTTTCCTTACCCCACTTCTATATCCTTAAACCTACCAATATTAAAGAATTTTAAAATAATACCCATAACAGTAACAATAGCACACATGGATTGAGTGTTTATATTGACTTTTCTCACCCTATGAATTTGCATTCCAGGAACATTAGCCCCACTGCGCCACGGAAAATCAGCTGCACATCCAATAGCGTGACTTTGGGTTGCCAACCCCATTGAGAGCCTCATGTTTCCACGTAGGCTGGCTTTATGCCTTGAAAATAGTAGGCTCTTCCAGGAATTCTGCTTTGTTGACCCAAATAAAAACTTAATCCTCTTGCAGGGCGTTGATATGGAGACTACAACATCAGAGTCTTACAGATTTAGCAACATGATTCAAAATTGCAGTATTTTTCTAATAATGTATTTTTTAATTTGTGAACTAAGTTGAATGTTGACCACAGGGATACGTTTCACATTTTCTTGATTTGACCGGGTAAATCCTAGATCATCCAAAGCACTTTTTAGGCTAAGTAATCAGCACTGGCATTTAGAGGGCCAACATGACAATATAAATGATAAATACTAGAAGCAAAGGTAAATCTAGGAATCGATGAGCCTCCCTAATCAGCAAATTTTGGCAGACTATTGTCCCCCCAAATCTGTCTCTCTCTATTCTTGGATGCATAAATAAACAGTTTAGAGCCTATGTCTCCTAACCATCCTTGCAGACAGGCATGACACATGATTAAGATCACAATAGAATGGAGAGGAATTATTGAGTCAACCTTCCACATCATTTACTTAAAATAAATTTGTCCTAAACTTGTGGCCTTTCCAAAGGCTGCAATGAGGTCATGTTAGAGACTCAACTTCAATTATAGAGACCAGGGACAATGACTTGGGAGACAAGGGAGCAGCAAGATGGAGGGAACCTGGGTCCCTAAGTAACCTTATGGAGCAGAGCTGCTTCTCTAGCCTAGATTATATTTAAGCCACTATGTTTTGTTTTGTTTTTTAAGATTTTATTTATTTATTTGTCAGAGAGAAAGAGCACAAGCAGGGGGAGCGGCAAGGCAGAGGGAGAAGCAGACTCCCTGCTGAGCAAGGAGCCCGATGTGGGACTAAGTCCCAAGACCCTGGGATTATGACCTGAGCCAAAGGCAGACACTTAACGGACCGAGCCACCCAGGCGTCCTTAAGCCACTATGTTTTGAGATCTCTGATTCAGCAGCTCAGCCTTGACTATAATCACCACCATCATCATCATCAAGATTATAAAACAGTTTCGTGGTACCTTTGGATCGTTTCCTCTCTGAAAGCTTATGTCTTTTCCCTAGCTTAATACAAAATACATTTGGGTTTTGGGTTTTTCTTTTTTAATTTTTAGAAATTCAATTTATTTAAACTAAAAAACACAAAAAGTCCACCCATTTCTCCTATTGATTTTATTATCAGCCTCCTTTTCCAGACTTTCCTCCTCCCTAATCTTTCTCTACTACCCCTCACCCCAGAGACACTAAAGGAGTCACTTTTCTATTTTCACCACTTTGTGAACACAGCATGCATGTCCATCCCTCTCTTTCTGGGTTTGTGTGATTTTTTTTTTTTTCTGCCCAGAAGTCCCTAATGTTTTCTCCCTGTTCCATTCTTTATTTATTTTTTCAAAAACCAGTTTAATGCTGCTTCCCAGCTCCCCCAGGCAGAATTGGCCAATCCCTCCTGGGTGTTCTTTAACATTTTATACTCATCTCTAGGACAGTTATCTTCACATTGGATGTTAGTTATTTCTTTGTGTGTTTGTCTGCTAGACTATGAGCTCCGTGAAAGTGCAATGCCTTTATTCATCCTTGTGTCCTCACAAGCCAATTGCTATAATTCTCAATAGATGTTTGGAAAATTAATGGGTGAATGGAGAGATGAACAAATGCTTACCTTTTCCTGCCTTGCACTCTGATGTACTACAGGCTCAGGAGTGTGGCTGATGCAAGGCATGGCATTATCACTAGGGAATTTTTTTTTTTTTTTTAAGATTTTATTTATTTATTTCAGAGACAGAGAGAATGAGAGATAGAAAGCACGAGAGGGAAGAGGGTCACAGGGAGAAGCAGACTCCCTGCTGAGCAGGGAGTCCGATGCGGGACTCGATCCCGGGACTCCAGGATCATGACCT